TGAAGTTTGTTGATTTCGAGGACTTCTAGACATCCTAGGACGACCACGGCGCCATCTTCTTGAAGGGGGCCTTCCTACACGTGGTCTAGTCGTGGATGTTGAAGGAATGTCTGAAAAAGTCTGGATTGTGGGATAATTGAATTGCAGCTGTGGGCTCTGTTACTGTTCAACATTTGCATAGGATGCGGGCCGAATGGGTTGAAGCGTTGTCAACTCTCCATCTGAGTCTGATGAAAACGGCTGAGAAAATAAGTCCAATCCTAAATTTGTTGCTGGTCCCATCGAGATTGGGGTGGTGGATACAGATGAAAAAGAAAAATAAGGCTGAACAGAAGGTGAACCTCTTGGCCCTAGAATATAAGTATAAGTTTATTTCGACTCCATAATCTGCAATAGACGATAAAATGATTGATTAAAACAAAATAAATAAAACTGATTATAGAATCGGGAAAGCGAACGAAGCCTCAAGTAAGGTTTTTGGAATTGATTGATAAAAGAAGTAGTACGTGTTCACTCACCCAGAAGGTCATCATAATGAGATTCCTCGTCTTCACTGGAAGATATATCGACGTCCTCACTCCCACTGTTAATTTCTGCTTCATATTTCTGAAACTCTCCCTCCATTTTAATACAACAGATGGATTTTTATGCGACTAACCTTGCTCAAAGCACAAAGAAGTAACAAAGTATTTATTAGCGAAAACGCCCTCATCAGCAAAACGCTGAAAGCCGTAAAGCGCTGGATGGATGATCGCAGTGCTCCCAATCAAACCTCGTCTGGAGAATTCGCAAAATAAATGAATCGAATTTGCCTGAATCGGATACACCAATCGTTATGTATATATATTATGGTCACGAAATAAAAGATTAGAAAATTATTTTGTCTTTAAGACATGCGTTATTTCAATTTTTGTGATGAAAATGGGAACACTAGTTTTCAAAGCCGATTCTACGTTCTACTTTCTTTTCCTGATTTTTTTTCTCTATTTGTTTATTATCACAAAGAGAGCAGCGTATATCTCCCGCATCGCACAACACGTCGTAAACTACACAGCTGTGCGTTTTTCAAGATGATCATAAAGTGTTCCCCAATGGTATAATTTTGACGTAATCATTACGTCATACTCTCAAAATTAAATATGGTATTTAACGTCACCATAATTGTAATCAAATAGAATCAGTCATTCAGATCTGATTTATAATCACAATTGCCCACAATATGATAGTCACAACTCACAAGTCAAGGGGAACACAAAAATCCGACATCCCCTGTTCACCCATGCCTGGGCCAAGTGTAACTGAGGTATTGTCGACAATTTCGTGTCGGTCAACTAAGCATACCACATTTATTTATATATCACCCCAACTCGTAGATAAATCACACATTCCGCGGATGAAATAGGAATAATACAATCTTGGTATTCATATGAATGTATTACAATGAATCCCGCCTTCCTCTAAGACAGGGGTTCTTAACCTCTGGTTCGCGAACCCCAGGGGTTCACGAGAAGATTTCCAGGGGTACTTGAATGACAGTTGAGTAGCATAAAGGCATAGAGAAAAGATAGGAAGTTAGTCTCGCGCAACCCAACTCAAATTTGAGTTTTTATGTGTTGTTATTTTTTAATGTCCATTACTATCCGAGGAATATGCGTGCCGATTGAAACTCGGCACGGATTTTCCCTGATCTTGCCTTGTTGTGACTCAACAATGTGAAATCCAAAGCTTAGCAGCCAAACTGGGAAATCTCAAAAGACAATGTGCTGTTTGCTCCTCGAATTGAGAGACTTATTTGCAATAAACAGGAACAGCCTTCACACTAATGTTCTATATTAATGAAATGAATACTTTTAGTTAATATCATTTAAAACAGTGGTCATTTAATTAAACCCAACCTTTCTGGCGGACCGGTAAAATTAAATTAAATGTACTCGCGGAACGACAAAAAATGGGTGGAATAGAAAAAATATATATACTCGTATATTTGCGAAATGTAATGCAATGGTGGGCACTTGAAAACATTTCACATGAATAAAAACAAATATTGCGCCGGCCAAAAATTGAAGTAAGTAGATCAAACTTTTTCCAGAAGAAACTTATTCTCCTCGTTCTCATTAAAATATATCAAAGTACTTTGTTGGTTAACTGATCTCATATTAATCCTTCTGCAGTTAACTAACGCATCAAACAGACATGCAGGGACGCAACAAGCTCATATTTTACTGGATGTCATGGCGAAGCCCAGGATTACTATACTGTCCATGACTGTTTTCTGGTTTTAATTGGAAGTTAATATTTAGCAGAAAAGCATGCATAACAGAAAAAATACATGTGCCAATCTTTGGGTTTCTGAATCGCGATTCGCGATGAATCGGAACCGAAAAAGTGAAAAGTGCGATTATTCGGCGCCAAGACGTCGTCGGGCCATTGATACCTCAAACAGAAATATGTCGGCGAAAGAGAAATTGCGTAATAAACAAACACAACCGTTTTTTCGGCTTGGTAAAGCGATTGAGACGACTGAAAATCAACAAAATTTTTCGCAGGCCGACAAAAAAGCTTCCAGTGCTGGTCCACGGGCTAGGGGTTGGGAACCACTGCTTTAAAACAGTTTAAAAATTACTAGTTAATATATCACAACTTTGTTTGGTGTCTGATTACTAGGGGTTCGTGCTGATTATTTCATGACTCGGGGGGTACTTAACAGAAAAAAGGTTGAGAACCCCTGCTCTAAGAGATTAAAATCTCTGAATCTCGTTTTAATATTTTATGACATCATAACAGACATTTGTTTAGACATTACGAATGTCAGTAGTAATAAGTTGCCAACATGTACATGATGGATATATATTTTGAAACTAAAATCTAAAAACGTCAGAAATTAAGAACCCGCGAAGAGAAACTGACTGTGTGTTTGTTCTTCTTAATCCCGGTCAGACTTTTCCTCATTGAAGTTTGTCCAGCAGATAAAGCATTGAAAGGCCATTAATTTTTCTAGCTACCTGCAGCGTTATGTAGAATAATGAACCTTCTATATTTGTACTCTTCGTGGCCACTAATTCGATTTTGTCAAGTATTTTTCAAACCCCAGTCATAAACTACTAGTCCTTTTGCTATTTCCTGTCCTTTTTGTTAAGGAGGGAATGATATACAGGCCAAAAATGTAAAAAATGGTAACATGTTCTGGCCCACCCTGTAAATGAATCTATACAACTGATTCACGAAATTAGTCTTATCGGGTATCAGTATTAATTTATAAAAGTCAGCCATTTTTGATTGATTTCGAGATTTTGTTTTGTCAGTATTAGTTTCATGATTATGTCACTCAGCAGCATGATATGTTTTATAAGTTTTATCACAAATTTTTATCTGATATATGGCATTCATATATTCAGTCTTTGTTATATAATATGAAAAATATAGCATGGAAACATTATATATAATATTGCGTTTTTGCAACTTTCGTTGCAACTTTCAAATCAAAATGTTATAAACGAAATCCAACGAATAAAACGTTCAAGGCATCTTTCCCATCCAAAATTAGATGATAAGCATTCAAAAGTTAAAGTTATTTTTATAACTGAATGATTTTGGCGAATCCATAGCCGATTTGACTGAACGTCTGGTTCGTATTTAGGACATTATTATGACATTGTGTTTGTTGTCGGATGAAGTAATTGAGCCATTCACGTCTTTAATTATTTTAATGGGTGGATTTCGATGGGTTTTAAAACAGTTAACATATCACCATGATTAAAACATCTCTCATTGTTACGTATGTTATTTCGTTATACTCTTTCCCTATTTATTTTTTTAAATCCATCTTCCACATCTCGTTTCATCTATATTTGTTAGTTCTTATTATTTACTCGTTATTCACTATTGATATTTGTTTGATGTGTTATTTTCTTTGTTAGTGTTTTTGCTCCTGCTTGTTTGTCACGTACTCAATGGCTTGTTTTGAGGAAAACCAACCAGTTTTGAGTTGAATTTGTTTAATTTCAAACTGAGATAAGGATGTGTGGTGGTTACGCGTCATTACTCCCGAGGCATGATTATCAAAGATAATTTAACATTCAATAAATAACGTTCTTGTTAAATCAAACAAAATCAACTTGAAGTTTTATCGGAAATCTATGAAAATCATCCATTTATTGTCATTTTAGGATTTTGTTTTGTCGGTATTAGTTTCATTTAAAGCCTTCCGAATACATGATCTAGTAATAATAGGTTATTACCTCATCTGAACGAGAGGATACGTCACAGAGATAGAAAAAGGTTGTTTCGGGTTTTGGAATTTGAGAGGGAGGGAGAAAAAAGGGTTGCCATTTGATATTCACGTTCTTCAATAGCGCATGCTTGCCACCAGGTATATTAATTTCAAAACATAAATAAATAAAGCCCAGCCGGTGTTAGCAAAACGACGTTTCGAATTTCTGTTCAGAAAAGTTTCATCAGGACATGCTATGGAAAGCACATTATTGAAAATACAGGGTGTCTCTAAAGTAAGTATATATTTTTAATTTTGATTTGCTTTTCAGGTACTCATCATAAAGCGTTCATTTCTTTAGAAAACATAGTATGGATAAGTAGAAAAATTTCGGTATTGTTTGCATTTTTCATCAACCCACAGAATGACAAGGAGATTAACCCACTAACTGAGGTGCAAGATTGCTGTTTGGCAAGAAGCACATAAATTAGTAAGACGAACTCAGCGCCTCTTTAATTCGGCCCTTACACGACGAACAATTTATGCAAATATTCGTAAATTTATGGAAACTGGATCTGTAGTTGAGGCACAAAGTTGACGCGAAGGAGCGAACACTCTGAGAAAAACATTCAGAGCCGAATTAATTTCCATATTCATACTATGTTTTATGAAAGAAATTAATGCTCTATGACAAGTACCTGGAAAACGAATCAAAATTCAAAGTACTTACTCTTGAGACACCCTGTATATAGATCAGAGAAAAAAAATAAAAACACGGCGTTATCATATTATCACGCACTTTTCAAATTTATACGCCATATTGAAATTTTTTATTTCATTTCCCCCCTTTTTTCTTTACTCTGTTATATATATTTACGATGGTGTGCTTCCCATACCATACCCTAATGTAGCTTTTCTGAATTGAAATTCCAAACGTCGACAAATTTGATTGTTTTGCTAATACCGTTTGTGCTTTATTCTTTTTCGACATTCTTCGTTAATTCAAAGTATTGAATTTATTAGATTATTTCTGCATTCGAAATATGGCCAAATTGCTGATATTTTTTATAACTTCGCAATACATTGCGGTGTGCTACAGCCATTGTTGGCTGGCGTGTACAGATTACGCAGAAAAGAATGCGAGATACTACGATCATAAGTTGTGTCGTGGATATGCAAGATCAGCTATTCGTTTCGCACCCAGAGGTGGTGAATTTGGACTGGATAAAAGTATGAACAATTACTGTTAGTCAAAAAAAAGATAAAACAAAATCGGAATAGGAAAATGAATGAAAACATGAGAAAAGTATAGTTTAGGGAAGGACGAGGGTTGAATGCTATCATTATGGTGTTATTATATAGCCGCTTTGACTCTATTGCCAGAAAGAAAGTAATTTTCCAAAGCATTTGGGGCTATTCTTCAGTTTCTATAGTATTTTCTACTACGCAGTTTTTACCTTATAAAGAAAGTTGATGGCAAAACCGATTTCCAATGAGACATGTTGAATCAAAATTTGTGATTTTTAATTATGGTTGATTTAAAATGTTCATCAAGTAATCTTATTTTATTCGTATTACAATTTTTAATTTTATTCAGGTTATAACCACAGTCCAATTGAAAATGCCCCATGCAGGACAAAGAGAAATGATTCGACTGAATACAATAAGGAACATCCTATGGCAGTGTACTATCCCGGTCAACAAGTTGTCCTAGCCCATCCTATGAAAGTGAGTGTAACTTGTATCGACGTGTAGTAGATCTGTCGCTTATTTTCGGTTTCATCGCGTGTTTACTTCCGATGTTCGTTTCAAATAACGATTTAATAACAAATTTCATGTTAAAATAGTTGAATTTTTAAATTCCTCATCCGAGTGTAAAAAAGTTTACTGCGACTGCTTTGGCATATGTAAGCCCCTTCAACATTAATTGAAAATATCAATATCGATGTCTAGTCTTCAAGCCTGTTTTTTATTTATATTCCCCAGATCTTTAGCAGCCGTTCTTTCGCCCCAAAATTGGAGCATAGTGCAGCTGCGTTATTTTTTTGACGAGCGAAGGCTCAACTAATCACCTATTCGGATATATTTGTCAAACTCGTGTCCACATATCCGATCCTAAACTCTCTTATACACTGATAACTGACATCATCAAGTTTTTTTATGCAGAATCATGGATCGGATTGGTGTTCTAATATGTACATACCAGACAAAGGATCCGTTATTTATCGGGGCGATAGGAATGATGGAGCTGATCTTACATTTAGCGGGTTCCGCAACAATCTCGTCGCGGATCTTGGTGAAAAAGATCCCCCAGTCATGGGATCAACTAAACATCACGTTTATCCAAAGCCTGTATACCAAAACGCGCCTGCATTTTGTGAAAATATGGACAAGTCATTGGGAACGTACAGCTTCAACGTTCCAAAGAATCTGATCCCAGGTCAAGTAGAATAGTGGTTCAAGTTTAATGCATCCTACCAATCGTAATACCATGTTCTGATGACGGAAACAAAATGGCTAAAAAATACATTTGTTTGCTTTATGACTGGATTATTTTCTATGAAGGCATGAAATGTAACCCCGTTATTAAATGACGTTATCCTTCGCCAAATTTCGAATTTTGTATCAAATACTAAATAGAAACAGTTACTACTATGTGTCATATATATATATATGTCGTGAAAGACCACCATACAGAACACTTCTGTTGGCGAAGTGTTGGTTTTTGTACAGGATAGTAAAAATAAAACTTAAAAGGGTTATATTGTGCTTTTTTGAATAATACCCACCTCGAAATACATCTCAACCCATAAGAACAAATGAATAAATAAATAAAGAATTATCCTTGGATCGACTTTATATAGCGCGTTGAGACATCTGAAAATGGTTATTTGCAGTAAGTATTATCACGGAATAGCTTAATATTTTCTATTTATTCCAATACAGGTCAATACACATTCATGTGGGTATGGGCATTCAACAGCTTTGAAGAAATATATTCATCATGCTTTGAAGTGAAAATTGTTAGAACGTTAAAACAGAGAAATGTACAACTCGCTGTAAGTTATGAACGCGCTCGTCAATTTTTGAACAAGTTTCTCGCTCAAAGATTTTTCAATAATATTGAAATATTTGACTGAATCATCTAAAATTAAAGACTCTTGCTTGTTCGGCTGCCCCTTCTTCTGTTTCTATCTTTCCAGCTCTTTACATCTCTCCTCTCTTTAATCTCAATTTACACTAAAAAAGTTGTTAAAAAAGTATTTTGATTTAATAACATCTAAATATAACTAATTAGGTTGCATATTAAATTCCTAGAAAAACGGATTTAAGAATTTTTACGAACCCTGTGGTGGAAAAACCTCCAATTTTAGTATTCGAGGGAACACAAATCCAGGGTGTCGTGGATATAAAAGAATAAAGTCACAGAGAAAACCGAAAATGAGTTTGCAGACAAGAAAACCAACAACACACAGTATTACTGTCACTGTAAGACCAGTGTGAGTATGCAATAGTACAAATCACTTTTTTCATGATATCTCATATCCTTCTACCCAATTAGTTAGCTTAGTGATTCTTCTTGCGTGTTTATAAATCCAAATCCGAGTCTCATGAAGAGTCTCATATTTTACACACATAACCGGATGTGTTTTCTTTCGATATGCGAATATATTCCACACGTAATAATACTGTTTACCGTTTGTTTGGAACTTTGGTAACATTGAATAGGCTACTTTTTTTGTTAAATGTTGTTGAATTATTTTATATAAGTTTGAGCGATCAAAGTACTCGCGAGGTGAGGCTAACTTTATGAATAAGCGACATCCGACTTGTGTCCGAATATATATATGTACACTTCATGGATTTGAAAAACCAAAACAATATTTTTCAGCATCACTTTGCCTCCACAAATTCCTATTGAAGTACAAACAGGAGAAATGAGAGGGAAGGTGGTACTGCCGACACCTAGACCCGGTATAAAAAGAAGATATATCACCTTCAGTTGGTATTGCCCAGCTGTGGCTAATGCAAGTTTTGTATATTTCTTAACTTTCGGGATACTATTCTGTTATGGCAACATCACTAATGTTCAACACCACTATTTTAAAATGAACAGGATTAGAGAAAATGGATCATAAAATGAGTTGTGAGGAAATAATAGAATAGCACATATTTTAAAACTTTTGTAAAATATTGTTTCATTGTGCCACGGAACCCCTTTTCTAAATCAACTATACAAATTCGTAATTTGCTTTTAAAGACGCTTATTTGGATATACGAATCATGGCTATAAATCTAGCATCTACGTTGAAGGCGGATTGCCAATGTGTCACAAAGATGCGATTGACGAGATTATTACTAGCGCCTGTGTCAATGTCTACCTAATATTTTTTGTAATACAAGCAAGATAAAACCATTGCGCTCGCGAGCTTCAAAGCACACTATTTGTTCTGAACTATCTATTGTTACGCAGAACCAAACTCACTTTCATATATTTTGTTAGAGTAGGGGCTGTTGTCACCCACACGTTTGATTGAATGTTCGATTTTTTGTATAGTTCTCCAATGCTCGCGTTGTCAGTGCAAAAAATCACGGGAGCATAAGAGGACAACAAAGTGTCAGAATTGTCTACAGTCTTATACAGGACGAAATCAACATTAACAAGGCTGAAATATTTTATCATGTACAGTTTGTTCCATTTTGCAATACCAGGAAGTATAAGCTAAAAGCAGAGCTGATCAGAGAAGAATAATTGTGGATTAAGTACAGCATAAAAATGGAATATTATGCCAAACGCGTTTATATTTTTTAATTTTGTATATATATACATGTTTGGTGGAAACTGACTTTGATTTATAACAGAAAGATGTTGACTTTGTATCATTTTATACGCGTGCTTTCTTGTTAACAAAAAAAATACCCTTGTTTCGCAATACACTTCTTTGTTACAACCTACGTAGTCTAATTAGTGTGATCCAGGGTTGCGAGATTTTTTTAGTGGTTTCAGTCACCTTTTTTTATAACACTAATTTTATGATGAATTATTATATTTGACTAATTTTATGACTCGCAGAGTAAGTAGGCCTAGTGCCATAGTCAAAGGACAACCAAGTCCGTCTAGTCACATGGCCCATGCTTGAGGTGTGTTTTTACTACAATAAAGACACAAAACATCTTATATAAGGAGTTGCTTGACGAAGTTTAAGGTGCAAAGTTGAGAAGAAAAGCACATCGCATCGGCCGGGCCCTGTTCATACAAGTCAATTCATTCTGCCCTCAAATACCTGACAAATTCAAATTAGAGTCTACGAATAGGTTTATTATTCTTCATAACGCTGCAGGTAGCTAGAAAAATCAATGACATTTTAATGCTTTATCTGCTGGGCAAATGTCGATGCGGAAAAGTCTGGACCAGGATTAGGATTTTGTTTTGTTGGTATTAGTTTCATGATTATGTCTCTCAGCAGCATGATATATCTGATAGGTTTATCAGTAATTTTTAGCAGATATATTATGTGACATATGTGAATTTTTTATACAAAAATTCTTGAAAGTTTGTGAACTTACAACATAAGCTTATAAAGCAAACACTCAATAAATAGTCTTTATCTTATTATTCTTTTCTGATAACAAAGAACTGTTTACAATCTGTTGATTACTTTTGATTGATTGACCATCACAAAATAACAAATAGTTCCCACAGACAATAAACAGTTCAGTTTTTGTAAGTTAATATAAAAAATATATTATATAAAACTTTAAATATATATATATATAGAATTACCATCTTTTTGTGATTTCAAAGGGGAGGCCTCCAAAGACCAAGATGCCTTAGCTGTGATTTATTTTAACTTTATATTTCTCGATTTTACTACATAGGCCTACATTTAAAGCCATCCCGGCTGTCTTCATTGAGCATATTGCCATCGAGAGTTCATGCACATATATATTCTTTTTTTAAATATCAGTTCCAGTCCGAAAAATAGAAAGGAATTGACGTTGACGATAAAAAATAATTACCTTGCCATTGCACCGCAAGCATAATCTGATAAAAGATTACCTCAATTACCGGGCTACCGGCTACTGTAAAAGTGGCTGCACCATATTGATGTACAAGGCTTTCACGTAACATAGTGTATCAATCATCCGCTAACATTAAACGAAACAAACAAAATTACGCATTTTTCTTCAGTTACTATAGGCTACTGGTACGCTACACAGGGCGGTCGGGACGCCGGGACAATACGTAAAGTATGACTGTCCCACCTAAAACGGGACGTATGGTAAGCCCATACAAATATATATAGTTTCGTTTTGGAAAAAGGATGACAATTTTATGCAAATAATGTGTTTCAAAATATGTAAGCTAATTTTTCACGCAATAAATTAAATTCTCTTTTTAATACCAACTTTCAAATCAAAATGTTGTAAACAAAATCCAACGAATAAAACGTTCAAGGCATCTTTCCATTCAATCATTTGTTCCGATAACCTCTCATTAATTACAATCCACTGTACGTCCAAAATTAGATGATAAGCATCCGAAAGTTGTTAGAAATAAGGAATTAACTTTTACAAAAGATTTGTTTTATGAAGAAAAGGAATTCAAATTTTTATAATTAAATTATTTTGGCGAATTTATAACCGATTGGGTTGAACGTTTGGTCTGTTTGTAGGACATTATTTATTACATTGTGTTCGTTGTTGGGTGAAGTAATTGTGTCTTTTACTTCATTAAATATTATAATAGTTAGATTTAGACGTGTTTTAAATAAAACAGGTATCATACCACCATGATTTATCTCTCATTGTTACGTATCTCTTTTTTAAACTTTATACCCACCCTTTCCTTATTTATTTTTAAATTTATATTTTACAAAGTATTTCGTTTCATCTATATCTGTTAGTTTTTTTTTTGTTCACTCTTTATTCTTATTAGTAGTTATTTGATGTGTTATTTTATTTGTTTGTATTTTTTGCTGCAGCTCTTTGTCAAGTACTCAATAGAGACTTTTTCTTGGCTGCTCGCATTTTTTTGTATATGATATGTGTGAAAATTTTTATATCTGCCGCGAAAATGATTCAAGTATTATTGTAGTGAACGATGTAGCGATCGTGATTTTCTGTAACTATGTCAATGATTCGTTTTGAAGAAAACCAACCGGTTTTGAGGTGGAATTGTCACATTTGAAAGTGACATAAGAATGCGTAGTTGTTCTGCGTCACTACTCCCGCGGCACTTTCTACATGATTATACATCTATATATACTTACTCATATTTACTATAGAAAAGGTATTCGTGGAACTCAAAAAATCACGGAGACATGTTATTGTGGTAAAAGTTCTGGAGCTGTCATTGCTTGGACAAAGAAACAGTCAAATCTGATAACAAAATGTCGTTTTAATTGAAGCGAACAATTGAAAACTTTTTTTCACATACATTATGTTGAAAGAATAATTTTTAAAGTTATTTGACTACAATTCTATGTTAACATATTTACAAAACATGTCTTGACACGCCATCAAGAATTCTGATTTCACGATCGCTGTAAGTACTATTCAGTTATGTGCCTCCTCAAAACCATGACTTTCAGTATTTGGTGTAAGATCAGTCTGTTGTTTGATATAAGAAGATTCACAGCGCAAACTTTAAAATCTCTGAATCTCGTTTTAATCTTTTATGACAACATAACAGACATTTGTTTAGACCAGTGGTTCTCAAACTTTTTTAGTCCCAGAGCCGCATTTCAAACCTCAAAGGTATGAAGAGCCGCACACAAACAACGCAAGGTAAAATAGCAACAAACCTTCAGCGCGTAATTAAAATACTAAGTCACCGTAACAACAACACTCGTAACAACTAGGGCTGGGCAAAATTTTCGAATAATAAAATATTCGAATGGCATTTTACGATTCGGATATCCGGTACCACGTGACCTGCGCCGCTCTGCTTGGACACCGAACTCGAGCGTCTCCAACTCAATCGTGAATTGTGTGAGATTTCCCAAAGGCGCTCGCTATCAGAAAAAATTTGAAAAATTTGAAAAGTCGTCTTTGCGTTATGGTGTTATATGCCTATTTTTGCACCTAACGTATCCTTTCAATTCATCATTTTGCAAAAAAAAAAACGTACCGACCGTTCCGTAAATTTAGAAACGTCAAACCAGATTAGGTATTTAAAATAAATTTCCCAAATTTACACTCGGCATGCTTGGTGGCATGTCATTAGCCATTTCTTGCATTACCGAACATAAACTTGCTTAAAATTAAATGCTAAAATGACTTTTAGGCGTTTCATTGTGAAAAAGGCGATTTTAGGTCGTTAAAACACTCTATTTATGTAAATAGCATGGATTTAAAAATGACCAAAAGTTTTTCCAAAAGCTGGTATGAGTTACTCGTATGGAAAACACTCATTAAGTTGTAACCGGATAAGAAATGTCATGTCCTACTCCCTTTAAAGCACTGACTCGTTCACGAATTGTTGCTTCTATTATCATCGGAAATGATTACAATTGTTAAACTTTGAAGCATTTGGGCAGTAATAATTAAGCCTCAAGGTATGACATAATCGAAATCATTAAGCGAAGTGCTGAATTTGCAAATTCCGTAAAGAAAATTGAGCATTACTCAGTAAGTATTTTAGCTATAATAACCATCGGGGTGTTTTTTTTTTTTGAAAAAAAAAACAATAAAACTTGAAGGAATTAGGTATAATTAGAGTCTGACCCTCTATTAGGCACAAAGGCCTAGAAATGCCTTGATTGCCAATTTATTTAATCGCTATTTTAAATCAACATGCAGGATTCACGCAATCGTAAATTTGCTAGGTTTATCTATCTAATACTAAAATAACACGGACACCATAGAAAAGCATGATAAACTCAAATATCATTATAATAAATATCTGCATCTCGGTTACCGTTCACTTAAAACATGCAGGGTTAATTTACAAGCGGTGATAAGGAAGATCGAATCCAAGGCAGAGGATAAAACTCAGAATAGAATTAATTTGGTTCTAAAATTAGTCCTTAAATGTATTTAACAGCTGTCGCTGATGTGAACGCAAGGGTATACTAGAAATATGAAATTTTGATATTCAGCGACCGCTTATTCTTGCAAAAACGAGAAAGGGCGGAAATATAGAATACCAACTTTAGGATATCGCCGCCAAAACGATCGCGGTGACAAAGACAATCAGCAATTATGATAAAATTACCCATTAAAAAACGCTTTATTGCCGACTTTTTAATGTTCCTATTAATTTCCAAATGGAGTATCGACCTCCGAAGTTCTGGATCCCTGTTATGTATAAAAAAAAATATTCAAATTATTCGATTCGAAAAAAATTCCATTTTGCCCACCCTAGCCGAACCGCTTTATTTAGGCTTTGATTTCTGATAAGTTTTCAAAGCGGGTCGTAATCTTTGAGGATGTAAGGTGCAGTAGCTGCTTGAGATGATCGCCACATTTTTCGAGACTATTTTCGATTACTGGAACAAAATTAAAATGCTATAGAAATTAAAATAATCATCGAGTTATTTGATTCATACATAAGATCTGGAAAGGCGACAAAAACTGAAAATCCACGAAAGCAAGCCAATGATTACAGCCATGTCTAAAAATCTTTCCAAGTGAAAAGTGTCCGATTGGCCGCGAAAACGCTCACTGTTGCGTCACTATTGCATCTTATAGGTTAGTCAACACTACGCAAATAAACACGGGGGAATCCATTCGACTAACTAATAGACTTCAGCATTTTAATTAACCCTAGTTTGAGAATCACTGGTTTAGACATTACCAAAAGTCAAGAATAGTAATTTGCCAACGTTATTTGCACTGCATTCCGTGCGTTTTATATATTTTTGTTGTCATGATGAATA